TTTCTCCACCCCCTTGGGCACCGGTAACTGCGGAACAAATATCCGACTCTCGAAGAAAAGGTGGGAGGGAGGGCTAGCGAGGCAGATTTGCAAACGCTGGGAAAACACGCGGAGCAACAATTAAAGAGACCTCTCACTCACACGCACACACACACGCACGCACAGACACAAACGCCACTTCCTGCAAACGTGCTCCACAAAGCGAAGGAAGTTCAGCTAGCGACACCGGTTTCATCAGGTGTCCAGCAGCTTACTCCCGTGGAGCCGAGGGTATCATGAAGCTGCAGCGCAGGCACCGATCCCTGCCGAAAGTTCGGGTGCGGACGTGCCCCTTTCCTGCGCCAGAAGCTAGCGCGGCACCTGCGCCCCCTCCCGCGCACTTCTCGATCTTCAGGAGCAAACAGGGCGGGGAAAGGGACTTCCCACCAGCGCCCCGCCGTGCGCCCAGGGCGCACCGCCGAGTTTGGCGAGGGGCGAAATTCTCTGCCGAAACACTTCGTGGGCAGGACCATTCCTCCACGCCCCTGATAGTTACTTAGGGTTCTACCCAAAACATGGCGCTTTCGGGCGGCTAGCCACAAAATTCCGATTAAAAACAAGCCTGACACGAAGCACCACCTGAAACGAAAGAGAGTCCAAGCACGCGAGACCTCACTCACCGACTGGCGGGTCAGGTCCTTAGCGACAAAAGGGGCCGTCGGACCCCTCCCCAGAACGCATCCGCTTGGGAGCAACTTCTCGCCCTCCTCCTCCTGCGACCGCAGGTGGGGACCTTTTGCCCAGGTATGCGCCTCCTCGCTTAACTCCTTCCAGCCCAGGAAGAAACAATCTGATAATGAGCGGTGGGTGGAACTGATTTCCTTTAATAACCGGCCACAATCCCGCACCCTCTATATATTCTGGACAACAGCTCCCATCTGCCCCAGCCAGAATTGCCGATGAGTCAGAAGGAAGACTCCTTCCGCAAACGGAGAAAAGAGAAAGAAGATGCAGGGTCATTGGAATGCTAATTTTTAGCATTATTTCCCATTAACTTTACCCCCCCCCCCCCGCGCAATCCCTTAAAAGATTCCACTTTTCTGGGAGGAGGTAACTTTTTGCCTTAAATGTGCTTGGCTGGCCCAAAGACACATTTGAATTGTGGAAGACTATGAATTAATAACAGGTGCTGGATTAATTATTAATAATATCAATATAAGTTTTGCTTCTGGCTTCCCCTACCTTTTTAATTCTTCCAGACTTTCCAATGCTTGTTTTCTGTCTCTCTTTTAAATACAGTTTGGATGAGCAGTTCTAAGCATGTTTCCTGGCTGGCCGGTGGATGCGAGGAGTTGTAAGGCTTTTTTCAGTTTAAACACGCCCTCGAAGAATTGTACAGTACATCAGAGAAATGTTTAATAATCTGCATGCCTTCAGGTATTTGCAATTCCAAGGGTACATATGCCATCCTCATTCATATCTTTGAGGTGGAGTTTGTGTGTGCATTTTGTTTCATGCCCTTGTAGGAATGTTCCTGCAGAATATTTTTTCTACTTCCTGAAACTTCAGGTTTCTGCCACGCCTGCTGATACCTCCCTTTCACGTGTGTGTATTGGTGTTTCTGCACAAGCCTCTGGAAATAATAAGACATTCTGTAAGCACTATTAGGTTACATGAAATCATGTTCCAGAGACTGGACCTTGTTAAAAAAAAAAATAGGTCAGCATCCTCAGCAGGTGGGCCACCCAGCTTGTATCTCGATACCTCCAGTGAAGGAAGGACCACGGGGTTCGGATGTTTCTCCTAACACAGGAACAGGGCGAGTCAGAAGGGGCCTCCCGGGCCATCTAGGTAGCTCCAGTCAGCTCCACTGCCAGTGACATACAGGTGTGTGAGGGGGTGTCACACAGAGGTGGGTAGAGACCTGTTCTTCCCTGCAGAGGAGGGCAGGATGTGCTCCAACAGCAAAGCTCAGGGAGCCAAGGTTTAGTGTGGATGCCAAGAAGTCTCTGAGGGTATAGAATGGGCTTCCCCGGGAGGGGGTTGAGGCCCCCTCGGTGCAGGTGTTCAAGGATAGGCTGGACGTGCACATGGTGGGCATGTCGTGAGCGGAGCCGGCTGGAGCCAGGGGTCAGACTAGATGGCCCAGGAGACCCCTTCTGATTCACTCTGTTTCTGTGCCTACCTAATATCACACTGAAATTGCCTGCCATGCATTTTTCCACCCCCTGGTTCAGATATTGCCCTCGGCAGCAACAGAGGATACAGCTGCTCCATCTGCAGGGCCCCCTTCTCCGCTCCAAACTGAGTGTACTGTTGGCAGTCAGGCAGTTTGGAAGCTCTCCTCACTACCCCTGCTGCCCTCTCTTGAGGAACTAAAAGAACCTTCCACGTTCATTGACCTGGGATTGGTAGGAAAGCAGCTTTGCAGCCCTTGGATTCCATCTGTCCACTGGGCGGAAACAAGACACTGGGCTTTGAGGGGTTGCTTTTTCCAGTCCCAAGAGACACTGGCAAATGCTTCACACAGGGGTGAAAAAGCCCTTCCGGTCAGAGGGATTAATTCCATCTCAGGGAAGATCCTGGGGACATTTTTATGTGGTGGGCGGGGCCTAAAAGCACAAGGGGTAGGGCTAAAAAGAATATTTTCTGCAGACTCTCTGCCACTGGTGTGTCCTTAGGAGAAGGAAGGGCTAGGGGCAGAGCCAAGGAGAGAGGACACATGACCCTGGAGAGCTCCTGTGTACCTGTACGGAAACATGTTCCCAAGTGAACCTGCCTGCAGCCACCTAAGCCGGTTGCAACCCAGAGTGCCCCTGGGAGAAGTCCCTCCGTCTCAGCATTCCTCAGCGGCCACCTGGGGAATGCTAGGAACTGGGAAGCCTTTTTCTGCTGGACAGAGAATGATAGGACTTGCAGTCCTGCTTCTCAGTATCAAGAGGATGTCGCTTTTCAGATCCCCTTGATGGCCACCCTGTCCTGCGTCAGCTGATGTGGGAAACACCCTCCTGTGCCGTTCCCAAAAAGCCTCTGCTTATACACCCTAGAAGCTCCTGAAGTCCGTCCTCACGTCAAGTTCAAATCCCCTCTCTTGGCCTTTGAACCTTCTGGCCCTCCGCAGCAGCCTGGGAGTGTTCGGGTGCAGCTGATGGCCCCACTCTGGACAGCTTTAAAGGGGTTGGACAGATTCACGGAGGAGGAGGCAGCTATGCATGCCGGCAGTGCCCACGGCTCTCTAGCACAGCCTCTGTCTTCAGGATCAGAGGCAGTTTGCCCATGTGCCCCAGCTGCTGGGAGCTTGGGCAGGAGGGTGCTTCTGGGGCAGCTGGTTGGCCAGAGAGATTTCATTTAATTTCATTTCATCTGCTTAGGAAAAGTTGGACCCCTAGTCTCATGTTCAGAGGTATTAAATCGCAGTGATGCAACTCCAGAATGCCTCCATAACAACGGTCTTGCATATGCAATATGGATTTTGGGATATTAAATTAAACTGATATTAAAACAGTCCCATATCCATTGCGAGGATGGTGGTGAATATATGGTGCCATATGCATTGCGCATATGGATTACAGTGATAATATGGCTGTATCTATTTTTCCATCCTCAGAAACATCCAGGCCCAACAAAAACACAGCTGATCATTCATTAGCAGATTAAAGAGTTGCTGTAATTAAAGAAAGCACTGAGTGGATCATGGTGTCCATCCTTTAGAAGGCTGTACTTTTTCCATGTCAGCTCTTTGCTGATGCATGGCATTTCCCCACCAGCTCTCTTCCCCCCGCTCCTGTTTTTGCTTTTTCTTCATCGCCCATAAAAATCTTTTCTCCTCCCCCTCCCCCACCACCCCTCCACCCCCAAAATAAATTAGCTGAGAATATCTTGGGTTTTAATTCTTGGTATTAGTGCCCATACATGAGACTAACAGCACAATCCTAGACACCACTACTCAGAAGTTAGCCGCACTGAGCTCAGGGGGTCTTGCTCCTGGGTAAATGGTACAGGATCGCAGCCTAAAACATGCAGCCAAGTTTTAAGGTTAAGGCTCTCTAACGTTTTCTTTTTGCACAAAGCGTCTTCTTCCGTCTGTTCGATGTGGGAACATTGCAGCTGGGTCCTTTTCCCAAAGGCAAACGAGGCCTTCTTCGCATCCTCAGAGATCTGCCCTGGAGGAATTGGATGCTTTGCAGTTTTGTGGAACCAGCTTGGGCCGACAGTCCGAAATGTGCTTCGGCTTTGGCCACGTGCTACCTGCTGACTCCGTGGCCTGCATGGCCGAGAAAATTTGGGTGGCTGGGCTCCTTCCACAATGCGACAACGTGTGGTGAACACCAGAGCCGGCCGAGGTGACCTGCCGACAGCAGGTGGCGTTCTGCACAAAGGGCCGGATTTGCCCTCCGACTGAAACGAGTCCTGGACAGTCTGGTGATGTTTAGGGTTCCTGAATGTTCTGGAGGAAGTGGGCAAACCTTGTGTGAGGCATTCTAATCACGGGACACATGGCTTGCGAGGGGTGCGGAGACAGGATGGGCGGAGTAGGTGTTTCCAAAGTGCGGCTCTGCTGCCAGTGGGGTCGATTTGGGATCTGCGGGTATGGCATTGCAGAAGGAACCCCGGGTCTCAGATCCGGAGGCTTCCCTGCACCGCCCCGATGACGTTGCTAGAGGAAGAGCTCATTTTCCCGCTGCCCCACAATTTGAAGAAAATGCACCCCTAGAGTTGGCTTGAGCGTGGCCAGGAACAGGAACAGCAAAACACTGATGGGGCAGTGTAGGAAAACTGGCAGCCAGAGGTGAAATTCCAGAGTAAAGTGGATCCGTCCATCTCTGTTCCTAAGAACCAACCCCAGATTCGTTCTCAGTTTATTGAGAATAGGGGCAATTTCTTCTTAAAAAAAAAAAAAATAATGGGCCCAAGATTTGACTTTTTAAATATGTATATATATATATATACACACACGCACACACACACAGAGGAGACGCTAAGGTCATCGCAGCTATCCGTCAGTCTGAGCAGGGCGAGAGTCAAACCTGCACTTTCTCCACCTGCTTCTCATTGACGTTCGGCTCCGCCATGGGGCTGGGGGTGTAATTGAAGGGGGTCACCCTGACTGCCCGGCTTGGGGAGCTGTGTCTGCTGGGAGGGAAGTTCCCCAGAGCGCCAACTGGGACTTCGTGGCCGAAGGTGGCCTTTCCTGGAGCAAAGGTGTCCACCTCGCAGCCATCAGACGGGATCTTGGGCGCCTCCTGCACCCCCAGTGTCGGAGAGGTGCTGGAGTGGGTCTTGGCGGCGGCAAAGTCCTCGGTCTGGACGACGGCGTCACTCGTCTTGCGCTGGAGGTCCCCCCAGGCCTGGCGGCTCTCCTCCTCCCTCAGGGTGCTGACCAACGGCAGGGCGGTGGAGGGAAGGGTGCTTCGTAGAATGTGTGGGATATCCTCATCGCGGATCCGTTTCCAGGTCCCCTTCGCCTTGGCCTGAAGCTGCTCTTTGGTCTGTGGTGCCGCTGCCCCCGGATGGGGAGCAGCTGGTGGGGCTGCGGAATCCACCAGAAGCTTGGGGGCCTCCTCAGCCTTCTTCCCGCCTCCTGAGGACTGGGGGCAGCTGGGGGGCCCCGGGGCCGGGCTGGCTGTTCTCTTCGCCACGTTGATCTGAGGGGACGAAGAGTAGCGCTTGAAGGGCTCCGGGGGGCCCCCGCCTGATTTGACAGGGAGCCTGGAGGGGCTCTCTGAGCTGGTGCGCCTCGGAGGCCTGGTGCCAGCCGGGGCTCTGTGTCCGGGAAGCGGCACCCGGGAGATGACGGGCCGCTGGCTCGGCCCCGCCGGCTTGTCCACCTTGAGGTCGTCGCAGCGGGAGGAGCAGAGGAAGACGGTCGGCAGGCCGAGCCGGCCTCTGTGAGAGGACGCGCCCTGAGAGAGCGAGGGTATGGGCTCCGCGGAGGAGAGCTCAGCACGGTGCCTCATGAGGAGGCTGGAGGACTCCTTGATGAACGTCAGCTGGCGCAGGAAGCCGGAGCGATCTGACTCGTTGCCAGATGACCGGACGGAGGACATGCGCACCAAGCTGAGCCGACTGTTCTGGAAGGCCGCCTTCCCACTGGCCTTGGGCCGTGGGTCGCCGGCTCCGCGCCCGACCTGCTCTTCCAGAATCGGCATCGGGCTCCTTGTGGGCAGTGTCTTCTTGGGAGGCTTCTGCATGAAGGGGATGCGGACGGGTGACTTCTGGGTCTTGTGCTGCTTGGACACAGGGGACTTCCGAGCCGGCTTGGGGCTGGGGGCTGGAGGTGAGGCATTTCCGCCCCCCTTGCTGGCTTCGCCGGGCGGCAGCTGCCGGCTCTGCTGCTGTGACGGAGATGGCAGCTTCTTCGGCTTGGGCTGGGAGGGTGTGGACGTCTTGGAGGACCCAGAGGATGGCGCTCGGGGGATGCGAGCTGGGGGGGTCGCACTCCTCTTGGGCAGCGTCAAGTCCATCATCTCCGAGATCTTCCCAGGCCGGTGGAGACTCCGTGATCTCTGTTGGTTAAAATTTGGGATCTTCGAAGGGGCTTCCTCCTTGGTTGCAGGCCCTGCTTTCCCTGGGGGAGACCGGGGGCCTTGCCTGGGGGGCTCCTTTCCCGCATCAGGCATGTAGATCACCGTCCGGCCACGGAAGACCACCGGTAAGTTGGTCATGCGTTTCTGCTGGCCCGGGGTTTTCTCTATTCGCCCTTTCCTGCAGGCAGGAGCTCCAGCTTCTGAGGGCTTCCTGCCATCTTGCGGGGCCTTGGGGTGGCCTCTCTTCTCCAGATGCCCCCCAGGAAGGTCCTTGCCTCTCTTCTTTTCCTTCCTGCCCAGAGAGAGCTGCAAAGCTGAGCCAGCGGAGAGGCCGGACATGAAGGAAAGGATCGACTCTGTTTCCGAGGTTGGCTCCCTGCCTAAGGACGTGGCGGCCTGGTGGAGCCAGGTGACGATGGAGTTGGCGCCCTCCTGGATGGCTTTCCAGTCCACGCTGTCGAGGTCAGACCCTCTCTCATCGGCGGCGTCTTCCACCGGCACGCTGGCCTTCCGCTTCTGGGCCCAGCTGGCCACCTGCTCCTTCTCGCCATTTGTCCTTCGGGCTGATGGGCGTCTCCTCTTGGGCACGGGGAGGCCGATGCGCTTGGGCAGGAGGTCTTCCTCTGAGTTGCAACTGAGCGAGCTGGCGGAGCTGTCCCTGCCTCGCGTCGGGGGCGCTCTCGCCTCGTGCCGGCGGCCCACGGTCCCTGGGCGGCCGGCCCTGCCGTTGTTCCCGTGCGACCTCTGCTCGCCCTTGTAGAGCTCCAGGTCGCTGAGGGAGCTGAGGGAAGAGCTGAGCGAGTAGCACGGCGGGGTCTCGTCGGCGATGAGGTTGCTGCGGCACTTGGGCACCGCCATCTTGGCCTTCCCCGGCTCCTTCTGCGCCACCCAGCATTCCTTCTTCGGGCCTTTGCCGGCCTTCTTCTTGGGTGAGTTCTTCCTGCTGCGCTCCGTCAGGTCCTCCGCGTCGTGCTCGTAGAAGCAGTAGATGGCCTCCTCCGTCGGGGTCGTGTGACAGAGGGACTGGAAGGCCATGTCGCTCTGGCGACCGCCGTTCTCCCAAGAGCCCTCTCTGTCGGAACGGCTCCCCTCCGAACAAGCCCTCACGCTTCCCTGCCGGGCAAGAGTCAGCTCGAGGTTCCGGAGAGGACCTGGCCCCCGCTTGGCCTCGGCGGATTGGGCCCGGGCGGCACGAAGCGGGCTGGTGTGATTAGACCCCGCGCTGTGCTTGTGGCCGGAGGCGACTTTGGTCGGCGTCGAGTGGCTGGAGGTGACTCGCCTAGCCTGGAGCCCGGCTCGCTCGCGCGGAGGCACCTCTGCCTTGGTGCCCGTGCCCCGCGGGCCTTCCTTCCTCTTCTCAGAGCACCGCCTCGGGTCTGCGTTGTCCTTCACCGGGTACTGGAGCGTCTCGTCGCTCAGCGAAGCCGCGCTGGAGAAGTTCACGGGCGTGCCTTCCGCGGAGTCCGTGCAGGAATCCTCGTCCGCCACGTAGTCCGTGCTGGCCCCGAGCAGCGCAGCCCGCCTCTGCCTGCTGAGACCCAGGTGGGAGCTGGCCGGGACCAGCATGTACACTGGCACATGCACCGGCTTCTTGGTCTGTGGGTGCAGAACCTGGGCTGGAAGGCCAGAGATGAGGTTGGTACGGACCTTCCGGAACCGGGGCGGCATGGCTGAGTTGATGCACTCCTTCAGGATCTCGACTTCTTCGTCTGAAGTCAGCTCGAGTCTCTCAGCTGGCCGCTGGCCCTCGCTGGCCCCCTCCTCATCTCCGTCCTCGTGCATCATGAAATTCAGGCCACTCCTTTCAGGGAAGGGCGGGATGAGCTTCAGCTCGACATCCTTCTGGACGTAATGTTCATGCAGGGGCAGCGCGCTCAGGCTGGAGGCGCAGGAGAAGTTCTCGTTGGGTTTCTCCACGGTGAAGTAGGCCATGGAGTCCAGGTCTTGCATCTGGAAACGCTCCTTGAAGTCCGTGATCTCCATGAACTTCTTGACATTGTTCTCCCACTGGATGTTGAACTGACTGGCTTCCTTCTCCGGCTGGCCGCCCAGTTCGAAGAGGGGCGTCTTGCTGCGGCTCGGCGGCATGGTTTGCCCGGGGCTGTCGGGCAACTCACTCGGGCTCACGGTCCCGCTGACCATCTCGCTGCAGGGCTCACTCTGGATCGAGCTGGCGATGGACGGGCTCTCGAAGCTGCCCAGCGAGCTGACGGAGCTGCAGCGGCTCATCACCAAGGGGGTCTCCTGAATGTAGTTCTCGGAGGAGCTGGAAGGGGTCAGGTCCTCGTGGCGGGAGGGAGAGGCCCCACGGAGGAAGACCTTCTCCCTCTTGGGGAAGGGGATCGTGATGGGCTGCGAGAGGGCCAGCGGCGGCTCCGCGGCCCTGCTCTCCTTCTCGGCTTGCTCTTCTCGGTGGGCTTCCTCCACCTCCTCCACCTCGATGATCTCCAGGGAGGAGTCGCTGTCCAGCTCGTTCTCACTGTGGCTCTGCCCGTCCAGCACATTGTCGGCCGAGGAGAGGGAAGACAGGGAGCTGCAGCGCGAGAAGCAGATCGGGGTGTCCTCCACGGAGTATTTCTGCAGCTGCTCTTGTCCTGCTGCAGCTGGAACCGGCAGCTTCTCCGGACGCTTGCTAACATTTTCCGCAGCCTGTGGGCGGTATGAACTGGCTGCAGGGTACCGAGCGGTCCCAGGCTCTGGGTTGCCGCTGTCTGTGTTACTCACGAGGGGGACGTGCTGGTAGGAGGGGGAGAGCTTAATTGTGTGGACCAGAGCACTGGGCTCGGGCTTGGCGCTTGGACCCTTCTCCTGCTCTTTGGGTTCCTTCTCGGCAGCCTCCACGGCTGGAGCCGCCATCCCCTTGGCCTTCTCTAGAGGTTCCGGCCTCTCTGCCTCCTCCCTGAACGCCTGCTGCCTCTTCCCCAGCAGGTCGGCCTTCTCGGGCCGGTTCAGCAAGATGTTCTTCAGGTCGAGGCGGCTGGGGCGCTTCTGCCGCCGGTGCAGCTCGTCCTTGAAGTCCAGGAAGGTCGTCCGCGTGCAGGGGGCCATGTGTTCCCGCGTGCAGTACCCGTCACTTGCGCTGCTGCTGTTGAGGCTGTCGTTGGGCAGGCTGCTGCAAGCCGCCTTCAGCTGCAGGAGGGTGCGGGCCCGGCCAGGGCCTTCCCGCCTGAGCAGCCCGGCCGAGTCCGACAGCCGGCAGGGGGAGCACAGCCGGGCACGGGCCTCGCGGGCGTCCTCCGGGTCGTACGGCCAGTCCAGGCAGTGGTCCTCCGAGCTGAGGCTGAAGCTGTCAGAGGAGGACGGCTGCAGGGTGATGCCCTCCACCAGCCGGTCTATCTTGGCCACGGTGGTGGAGATCTTGTTGGCCAGCTTCTCGGCTGCCATGGACACCTCGTTGTCCGGAGGCAGAAGCAGCGGGGGGAGCCTGGGCCCCTCGGGCCGCTTGGCACTCTCATCCTTCTCCGGCTCGGGGCCTCTCCTCTGTGCTCCGGGTCGCGGCAGAGCCTGGCCTTGGAGGAAGGAGCTGCCAAGGAACATGGAGAGGACTGAGGCATTGCCCGTCTCCGCACCGCCGGAGATGTTGGGCACCTCGTCGTCGTCGAAGCACCCGGAGTCCGACGCGTAGTCCTTCACCAAGCTCTCCATGTGCCACGTGGGCTTCTTGGCGCCCTGGTTCTTCAGCACCTGCCTCTCCATGCTGTCGAAGGTCTCGGCCAGGTGCTTGGCATCCAGCTCCGCCTCCAGGGCCTTCTGCTTCCTCATGTACAGCGAGGGCACGCAGGAGCTGGGCGAAGTGACCGTGGCGTCCTTGTACTTGAGGGGCCGGTTGGCCAGGAGGTTGCGGAGCGTGGCGGCACTGCCCATGGCGATCATCTTGTGCTTGGAGTCGACCAGGTTGCGCAGCATGCTGACCGCCCCCAGGTCCCAGAGAAGCTCCTGGTCCTTGGGGCTGCGGGCCGAGAGGTTCCAGAGGGCGCCGCAGGCGTTGCTGACGATGGTCAGGCTGTGGGACTTGAGGTGCTGGAGCAGCATCTGCAGGCAGCTGTGGTCTCGCAGGATTTGCCTGGAAGGCAGACGGGCATGGCAGGTCAGCAAGCCTCTCTCTCGGTCTCCCTCTCCCCCAGGGGACAAGCTTAGGGCACACAGCTGGCTGTGCAGCCGGCCTGCTGATTCAGGACTAAGCTGTGCTGACAGGCCCGTGTCCGGAAGGGGCAAAACACCAAGCCTTCCCGGGGAGTCTCTGCCCTGGCTGAGCACTTAGTTGCAGTGGCGGGGTCCCGCCTGCTCCCGTGTTTCTGCGTGTTTGTGTGCATGCATGGTGTGTGCTTTTCTGTATTCTGAGCACACGTGCTTGTGATTCTCTCTGTGTGTTTTTCAGCTGGTGTGTGCTTTTCTATATTTCTCTGCGTGCCTAGCAGGGCTTTGTTACTGACCCCCAGAATACGATGTCCCACAGAGAGGAGAACGGGATCGAGCACTGACCGGTAGTCTTCCCGGGTAGCCACGAGGCTGGACACGTTCCTCAGGATGCCCCCTCCGCTCTCAATGATGGCTAGCGAGTTGCTCTGACACTTGTAGGCGAGGGTGCTGACCAGAAAGGCCAGGGCTCCCTCCACCATGCAGATGGCCGCTTTATTCTCGCTGCTGTGAGCCGACAGATTCCACAAGGCGCTGAGGACACTCTTCAGGGTGGATTCCTAGAGGAAAGAGCAGGATTAGGGTCCTACCCGCAACATCAACGCCTTCGCATCAGAATTAATGGCAAGCGAAGCCAGGTCAAGCCAGTGACCGTGTCTACAATCCTTTTGCTTCCATACTTCTTCTACAGCCCATTTTACCATGTTTCCCCCAAAATAAGAGCGTGTCTCATATTAATTTTTGCTCCAAAAGATGCATTAGGGCTTGTTTTCAGGTGATGTCTTATTTTTTTCTTACAAAAGCCATAAGATTCTGGCCCCGAGAGTCCTCCACGATTCCTTTCTTGTCCTCGGTGGAATCATTCTTTCTTTTTGCACTCACCTTGTCTGGGGGTCAAAATATTATTCCCTTTAAAGCTACCATTAAATCAAATGTTAATTGAAGACTTACGAGAAAGGAGTGGCAACACACAAGTGCGTTAAGTATGTCCATTACAACACACAACACATTGAATTACGAAACATGTCTGTACGTTATAAAGTGCGCACGTTATTCATGCGTTGTGTCTGTACTCCGATCGGTCATTTGGCAATGAGTCTCGAGTTCATCTGTTTACATGGGCATTTCCCTCTCGTCCGGAGGTGCCCGTTTGGGTGTTTACAAATACTTAATTATAATTTATATTATCATTTGTTTTAAGTATTAATGCCAATAATATTATTTATATTTCATTATATTTATATATATTATTATAATTCAATACATCTGTTGTGTGTTGCAACAGGCATCCTAAATGCAGCTGACAATCTTAACTGGGGCTTATTTTGGGGGTAGGGCTTATATTAGGAGCATCCCACAAAATCATGCTAGGGCTTATTTTCCAGTTTGGTCTTGTTTTCAGGGAAATACGGTATCTCCTGAACCTTGGAAGGGTTTGTGAAAGAAGGAAGGGAAAAGAAAGATGTGGTGTGTGAGACAGAGATGTGAGATGCAGTTTGGATGAATGGAGCTGGGAGAAAGAGGTGGGATTTGGACAAGGTGGTAATACACCCAGCAGTTGTGTATGGGTTGCTGTTGGGCCATGTGATGACCCACATCTCAGCTCCATCGGCGCTCACCAGCAGTGGTTTCCCCACCATTAACGACTCAAGAAGAAGAACCAGGGTAGGTTGTTGGGTTGAAACCACGGTGAAGTGTGTGCGCACCATGCTTCGTAAACCGTGGTTTGCTCCTGTGGCTCGGTTCAGGCGACTGAGTGCCACAGTGTTCCACGCTCACCTTGGTAGCCCTCAAGGCGCACTGCATCAGCGCCGTGACGCTCTCCACTTCCCTCAGGACCTTTTTGCTGTTGATGTCGGCCCGCCAGGAAAGGTTCCGAAGGATGCTGGATACCACCTGAGTTAGAAGAAGAGGCAGGTGAGGGAGGCTGCCAGCGTCCCACACCCCTCCCTTCCCCACAGTCACCTTCACCCATGCTCACCTGGTGCAGCTCTTCACTCTCGGACGTCAGCTGGGCCACGATAGCCTGCATGCATCGTTGCCGAGAGCACAGGGTTGCCTAGACGGGAGGCAATCACAGACGGGGTGTGGGAGAGGGGAAAACGGGGACCGGGTGCAAAGGGCAGCCTTTGCAAAGAAGCCCGGTCACGTTACGAGCTTACAATTGCGCCTCCAAATTTCGTGCGCCTGCCGGGAGAGGAGGGCCACCATCTTTCCGCCTGAGGACCAAAGGCCGTTTCGCAAACTGGATAAGCTGCTCTAGCGAGCGAGTCAGACTATTGTCCGGTAGCATTTTAGGCAAGATTGCTGCCTTCCTATTCAGTCCTGCAAATGCCTACTTGGAAGTAAGTCTTGTTGAGACTTACCAGGTCCTGGGACTTCTCACTCGGGGGCGCTTGCACGATTGTGCGGGTCATTCGCAACATCTTGGAGAACAATGCGAGGGAGAAGAGCGGATTGTGGGGCATGTCTGTGAGAGGGACTCCAGGGGCGATGCGTCAGCTTGCAAGCGAGTTAAGCAACGGGGTGAGCTTGGCGCCCGAGCACGGGAGTCTGCCTGGACAGAAGGTGCTCCCAGTTCTCGGGGAATGAATATGGAATGCTGGGACTTGTTTGGAATTTTCTCATCGTCCTACGTAATACACACCCACAGCTTCTAAAAGGCACACAATAAGGCTTGCGATCGCCAGAGTAAGAAGTTTTGGGGACCCGTGGCAAGTATTGCTTTCCCACCATGCCTGCAGCTTCCTCCTCCCGTCTTCTGCTTTCTGCACCCTGGCAGCCCGGGATCCCCCGCACCTTGTTGACGACATCCCCAAACGTGAGGTTGGTCAAGGCCATGCCAGTGTAGCGCCTCAAGGCCAGGTTGAGGGGGTCCTTGGTCATTCCATGCATCTCATAGTCCACCTGCAGGAGCTCCGCAACAGCCTGGAGCCCACCTGGGAAGCAAGGCAAAAAAAGGAAGGGGAATAAAAAGCGGGAAATGGGGCAGGTTGGAGGAAACAGCAATGCGCAACTTTTATATAGGCCAAGTGTTTCGGCAGCAAAGATCCCTGTTGCTGTAAATTAAAAGTATTATCAGTTTGGATATGCCCCTGGGAAGGGCAAAATTAAACGCACAATCTGCTGTACCACCTCATATTTATTTTATATTGTTATTTTTTGCATTTTAATTTAATGGTTGCACTTTACAAACATTTTAATTTATTGTTATATTTAATGTTTGTATTTTAACTTAATGTTGTAAGCCGCCCTGAGGCTTCGGCGAATGGGGTGGCATAAAAATGTTTTAATAAATAAATAAGTTTGTGCTCCCAAAGATCTGAGCCAATTGCAGGAAGGCAGAATTTGCTTTAGGTCTGGGGGACATTTTTAGAAATTCTCTCCAGATTTCAGAGATGCTGTTCCCCTTTGGAGATGGCCCCTGGCCTACTGAAATGCCTCCCCCACCCCCCGCCGTGCGACTCACCCAGCTCGTTCATGGCTTGGCGATACTCTTCGTCGAACGACAGCTTCATGATGGCACAGGTCGCCTGGCAGATCTGTGACTCGATGGGGACCAGCCCTGCCATGTGAAAAGACACAGCATCAGCCGAGCAGCTTGGCCCGACTGGGCTTTGCCTCTGTCCTGCTTGTCAAAGCCAGCAAAAGATTAGCTGTCCTTACTGCAGGTGACAAAAAAGCAAGGGTGCAAGGAACTCCTCTCCTGACACTCGTGGTACAGCCCTACCAATCTGCTGAGGCTGTACATGGAGCCTTGCAGTGCCGGCCTCAGTACATCTCCTTAGATGTGAGTGCCGTGGAGCTGAGCGGGACCCACTCCTGGGTAGCTGTTTATACAGGATTGCTGCCTGCCTACTCAGAAGAAAGTCCTAAACGGCTCAGGGCCGAAGGAGCGTCTCCTTCCATAGGTGCCTGTCCACCTCTTAAGATGTGGGGCAGACGCCCTTCTCTGGGTGCCCTCCCTGAAGGAGAGTAGGAGGGTGGCTACCCGGAGAAGGGCCTTCTCTGCTGTGGCGCCCCAGCCGTGGAATTCGCTCCCCAGAGGGGTTCACCTGGTGCCGTCTCTTTATTCTTTTCAGCCCCAGGCAAAACCCTTTTTATTTTCCCAATGCTTTAAGACCTGACTGTTTTAATTGGGGTTTTATTATTAGCAGGGCTTTTTTTGTCATAGAACACACAGGAACGGCGTTCCAGCACCTTATTTTGACGAATTTTTCCAAGGGATTTTTCCAAGTGATTGTGAACCGCCCTGTTGGGCGTAGCAGGTCAGCAGCAAAAAGCATTAGCATAGTGCCTGCGGGCTGCTGGTGTGTCCGCGCTGCTTGTGAGGGCGCTGCTCGGCTCGGGACGCTGCTCGGCTTGGGATCGGTCGTGTGGTCGCGCGCTGAGTGCTTCCTGCCTGAGGCGACCATCATGTTTGTGTGTGTGTAGAGTGACTGGCTACGTGCAAAAGGTAAATAAGTTCCTTATTTCAAAAAAAGTTGGTGAATTGAAAACCTTTTTTAGTGTAAAAGTGTGACTCCAAGACGTTAGTTCTGGCACTTTTTTTTTTTTGACAAAAAAAGCACTGATTATTACCTAAATTTTAGGATTCTGTGTTCTGTTCTCTTTCTTTCTTTCTTTCTTTCTTTCTTTCTTTCTTTCTTTCTTTCTTTCTTTTACATTTTGTATTGTTAAACCATTCCAAGACTTTGGTAATAGGGTGGTCTATGAAAGTTTTAAATAAATAAATAGTCAAGCCTGCAAATAGGATTCAGCTGGTCATTCACAATGTCTCAGAAAAAAAAAGGCCGGGGAGGAGGAGATGATTGGCAGTGAAATACAGAGCTGAAGTGAAGACAGAAGATCCAAGTAAGAGAGGAAAGGAGGGCTCACACCCCAGCTGCTGTGGCATCTTGGGCCAGAACTGAGGTTCTAGACATGGGTTCAAATCTCCTCTTCCACATTATGGTTAAAATTAAAATCTAAAATTTATATTACAATTCCGGGGTGGGTCTCACCTTTGGAAGCGTTTCCCCATTTGAATTTGTTGAGTAAGGGAAAAGCTATAACAGACGAGGACATTTTGGGTATGGAAGGGCAACTTGAAACCAAACAAGAATTGAAACCAAACAAGGGAACAGGACTGCATTGATGACCCTGGAATCAAATACAGTCCAGATTCAAAAAGATAAACACAGGACTTCTAGAAAGAACAGATTCCTTTTGATAAGATGTTATTGACAACAGAAGATAAGCTGATTCAAAAGATGTGTAGATTTTTATTGGATATGAAAAAGGAAGATGAGCAAGTTAAAGAGACAGTAATTAAATGGGCACAAAACTTTGGTTATAATATAGAATTATAAAAATGGCAGAAATTGTGGAAGAGAAAAATAAAATTGACAGTTACACCTACATATCTGTAGGGTTCTGTAGAGAATCTGTATAAAATGTTTTATAGATGGTATTTATCTCCAGATAAATTAGCCAAAATGTTTTCAAATATGTTCAATAAATGTTGGAAATGTTTGAATAAACAAGGTACATTTTATCATACGTAGTGGACATGTGATAGAGTGAAGATATTTTGGATTAAAATACATAGTTTGCTTGAATTAATGTTATGTAAATGTACACCTTTTAAATCTGAAATTTCCCTGTTAAGACTGATACCTGATTATTTTGATTATCAGAAATTATATTTAGCATTGTATATTATTACAGAAGCTAGAACGGTTTTTGCCCAATATTGGAAGAATGAAGAAGTACCTACAGAGGATTCAATACTACAGAAGATATTGGACTGGGCAGAGATGGACAGATTGACTTTAATAATAAAAAATGAAGAGTCAACGTATTACGAGACTTGGAATTTGTTCCAAGTGGCTGGAAAGGAAGACATGGACTTAAAGTTTAGGATACCTACGCGATCTCTGAAACCGTATAGAAGAATGTGATGCTTGACCAATTGATATGATGATTCTCTTTGTTTTTCCTGTTGGTTTCAGATTCGCCACGAACTGGATTCCACAGTTGATCTGATTCCAGAACTGGAGGCGTCCAGAGCACCATCTGGTCCATCCTTGTTGGATGAGTTCCAGTGATTGTAGCCTCATGAGGAGGACAAGATGCTTGGGATGGTATGCCCAACCACCTGTTTGGGTGACCCTTGCCCTCTTGGCTACTTAAGAAAGCCGGTCACGGGATCAGTCCCTGGGTCCAGGAGGTCATCAATGCCTCACTGAAGAGGGCCAGGTCCCTGCCCTTTTAAAGGAGGCGGTGATCAGACCTGTCCTGAAGGCATCTCTGGACCTAGAGGTGGCCGCCAATTACAGACCGGTGGCCAACATCCTGTTTCTGGGCAAGGTGCTAGAGTGGGTGGTGGCGGGACAACTCCAAGCACTCTTGGATGAAACGGATTATCTGGACCATTTCAGTCCGGCTTCATACCTGGGTACAGTACCGAATCTGCCTTGGTCGCCCTGTGTGATGACCTGTGCAGGGAGAGGGACAGGGGGAGTGCGTCCCTGTTGGTTCTCCTGGACCTCTCAGCGGCTTTCGATACCATCGACCATGGTATCCTTCTGGATAGGCTTGCGGGATTGGGGGTCGGAGGCACTGCTTTGCAGTGGTTCCGCTCCTATCTCAATGGCCGGTTCCAGAAGGTGGTGCTGGGGGACTTTGGCTCTGCGCCATGGCAGCTATGCCATGGAGTACCGCAGGGGTCCATTTTGTCCCCTTTGCTGTTTAACATCTACATGAAACTGCTGGGAGAGGTCATCGGGAGGTTTAGGCTGCGGAGTCATCAGTACGCTGATGATACCCAGCTCTACCTCTCTTTTTCAACCGATCCAGGTGAGGCAGTGGCTGTGCTGAACCGGTGCCTGGCTGAGGTGATGGGCTGGATGAGGGCCAAAAAACTGAAGCTCAATCCAGATAAGACGGAGGTCCTGTTGGTGGGCGGATCGAAGTTTCAGGTAAGTGATTTTGGCCCTGTCCCGGACGGGGTAGCGCTCCCTCTGAAGGACAGGGGCCATGGCTTGGGGGTGCTCCTTGACCCACAGGTATCCCTGGAGACCCAGGTGACAGTGGTGATGAGGAGAGCTTTCCTTCAGCTTCGGGTGGTCCATCAGCTGCGTCCTTACCTGGATAAGCACTGCCTTGCAACAGTGACACACGCTCTGGTAACCTTCCGGTTGGATTACTGTAACGCGCTCTCCGTGGGGCTGCCCTTGAATACGGTCCGGATACTTCACTTTGTACCAAACAGAGCTGCCAGGATGCTGACGGAAGCCGGTCGTTATTCCCATATAAAGCTGGTCCGCTATCGGCTACACTGGCTCCGAATTGAAGTCCGGGCCCAATTCAAGGTGCTGCTATTAACCTATAAAGCCCTGAACAGCTTATGTCCAGAATACCCGAAGGATCGCCTCCTTCCCTATGTGCCCTCCAGCCCCTTAAGATCAGCAGGGGAGGCCTTGATCCGGGAGCCCTCCTTGAAGGAAGTACGGAGGGTGTCTACCCGGAGGGGGGCCTTCTCTGTGGCACCCAGACTATGGAATGTGCTCCCCAGAGAGGCCCACCTGGCACTGACATTATCCTCCTTCCAGCGCCAGGTAAAGACCTTTTTATGGTAAAGACTTTAACCACCATTTTAATAATCAAGGGTTTTAGAGGTTTTAAGATTTTTATCTTTCCTCACAGTCACCCTTTTCATTTTCTATCTTCCATTTTTAACTTCCTTTTCTTTTTAGTTTATGAGGTTCAGTTTTATATGATTTTAATAACTGTGATTTTATTATTGTACTGTTTCAATTTTATGCTATGTAAGCTGCCCTGAGTGCTGTTGGAAGGATAGGATATAAATGTTTGTAATAAATAAATAATAAAATATATTTTAAAACATTACGAAGCTCAGTGTGTGATCATGGACTCTCTCTGCTAATCTACCCTGCTCTCTTTCTCTCTGCCTAATCTATCCTGCAGGGTCGTTGTTAGGACAAGATGGGGTGTGCGGAGGAGAGCACAGGAACCTCCTTAAAGGAAGAACAAGGAGAATTCAATGGAAGATCAATACTAATTAACAAGCTGTGCATTGATGCCACCCCACCTCAAGAATTAAAATCTGAAAACACTGGGAGCCAGCGTAGCCTAGTGGTTAGAGCGCTGAACTGGAAATCAAGAGGTCCAGCTACACAGACAGAAAGCCTCGGGGAGACCAGAGGGTGGGAACTCTTACCTGCCCCTGCTTCGGGTATTTCGGCCCCTTCTTTGCGGTGCATCCGGAGCCAATCCCAACATGTCTCCGAGTAGGAGCGGATTTGTTCCAGGACATGGAGGACCCGCATCTCCTTCTTGGCCCGCCCCTCGTCAGGCTGCGAGAAGATGATGTTGTGCAGGGCGGCATTGGCCCGCATGCGGCAGTCCTTCCCGGCCACCCCGGGGCTCTCGGCGGCTCCCGGCTCCTGGTCCGTGTCGTGGAGGATTTGGACAAGCAGCGGCAGGCAGCCCGACTTCCGCATAGCCAGGCAGCTCTCCTGGGAGCTGGACATGGCGAGAAGCGTGCGGGACATGTCCTTCTTGTCCTGCGTGGCCAGCATGGAGAGAAGCCAGAAGACCGCCTCCACCTGAGGAGCGGGAAAAGCAGAGCAAGGTGAGCGGCAAGCGTCCATGCGGCCTTCAGGGGGCACCGGAACAAAATCCAGGTGCGTGGCTGAGACACGGGGCAACAATTTCCTTCACTCCCAAGTTCGAAAGCAGGAAAGGGGGACACGGAAAGGCACACAGGTGTGCATGAGAGCTTGTGCTTGCACCCTGGTTCAGGGCAGGCCAGCAAGGATGGGAAGGCACTGCAGCGGCTGAATCCCAGCAGTGGCTCGCTGACAAAAGCCGCCTGAAGTTCTTCCCCTCTGTGGCAACCCGTTTGCTCCACCGCCTCTCGCTCCAGAGGTGAGGGGATGCCCTGGCCTTTTCGGCAAGCAAGTAATATCCACGTGAGGAAGAAGAGGGTGGCAGCTAGCCAGGAGCTGGTGGCTTTGAGGGCAAGAATGGGGTTAAATCCCACAGTCTCAATTTGCCCTGAGGCTTTCATGCTACCAGTCCAATGGGAGGCAAGCCAGCAGACAGACTTTGCCTCTCAACAAGGACTGCACGTTATGAGATGTTGCTTTGTTTTGAATTTGAGGCTGGCAAAGCATGTGCAAAATTCCACTGCATGCTGCATTTTGCACAAATGTACAGAAAATGTACCTCTTTAAGCGTAAGGATGGGAGGTTTTAAAGACAGGGTTTGCTTTGGTTGCCCTGGTGGACCAGCTGCGTTTTCCTGATGGCCTGCCTTCCTCTCTCTGAGTGGGAAAATATCTTTTTCTGGGAAGGTGTGAAGCAAAGCCTTGTGAGAGACCTCTGAAAGGACTCCCCACCCTAGAGCTGGGCCACCCCCCAGGGTGAGCTGCTTAAAATGGAGGCTGTTGTCCAAAAATCTCAGCCGTGAGTGTGAGGGCAGACGGACAGGAAAGCTGCTGTCAAGCAATGGATGGGCTGTAACAAAAAAGGTAGAACCAAAGGTAGGACAGGTGTGTGAGGGGGTGTCACATGGAGTTGGGGAGAGACCTGTTCTCCCCTGCAGAGGAAGGCAGGATGCGCTCCAGTGGAGCCAAGCTCAGGGAATCCAGGTTCCATTTGGATGCCAGGAAGCACTTCCTGACAGTCAGGACCCCGAGGGTGTGGAATGGGCTTCCCCGGGAGGTGGTTGAGGCCCCATTGGTGCGGGTGTTCAAGGATAGGCTGGACGTGCACATGGTGGGCATGTAGTGAGCGGAGCCGGCTGGTGCCGGAGGTCAGACTAGATGGCCCGGGAGGCCCCTTCTGACTCATTCTGCTTCTATGTTTGTCCGAGTGGAGAGGGCTGCAGCTGGGGTCAGACTAGATGGCCCGGGAGGCCCCTTCTGACTCGCTCTGCTTCTATGTTTCTCTGAGTGGAGAGGGCTGGAGCTGGGGTCAGACTAGATGGCCCGGGAGACCCCTTCTGACTTGCTCTGCTTCTATGTTTCTCTGAGTGGAGAGGGCTGGAGCTGGGGTCAGACTAGATGATGATGATGATGACGATGATGATGATGATGATGATGATTATAACATTTCTATGCCGCCCCTTGCTAGATGGCCCAGGAGACCCCTTCTGACTCGCTCTGTTTCTATGTTTCTAATTCACCTCTTTGGGTTCCTGAAGGCAGGATGAGAGCAAATGCATGGAAGTTGCAGAGAGAAATTTTAGCTGAGCATCAGGGGAAACATGTCCCAGAGACGGCCTCAGGACCGGTGAGCGTCCTGGCCACCCTCCCACCCTGGAAAGTCCAAAAACTGCCTGCAGATCCAGACCAACAAACTAGTTCTGGCATGATGCCCTCTGTTTCCAGCTTGCTGGTGCTTCTGTTACATAAGGCAGGTCTTGGCAGGCTCAGCTGAATCCAAAGTTTGCAGGAGTACAATAACAACAACACAACAACAACAGCAAATGCCTCAAAGAATATCCCCCCCACCCCCCGTCCCCCGGCAACAAAAAATCCCAGTGAGGATGCAGCAGGTTTGCGCTGTGGTCATGGGATGGCGACTGCATGTAGGGAGAAGAAAAGAAGGGCTGGAATGGGGAACCGTGGAAGTGGGCAAGGCCTGCTGGCTGGCTGGGGAATATGGAACGGAGTAACACGGAAGAAGCCGAGGTGACTGGAGCTGCAAAGAGGTGAGCTTCATGCCATTGCATTTTGTCACACTTCTCAGTGTAATCTCCAAGGGAGGTGAAAACCAAACCGGTTGCAAAGGGTGCGAAATCAAAGCCAAACTTTTACCTTGTTGTTCCCTGGGTGATTCTCCCCTTCCTCGGGATGGGTCGGAACCTCGAAACCCCCATCCTCTTCCAAGCCAGACAGTTTCCCACAGAGCTACAGGACAGTGGAAAGAGAAGGATTAAAATGGGGAGATTTCCTTTAAAATATGGGGCCTGTAAGCCAAACCCTACTACAGTCAGTCAGGTTCTTGTTCTCGTGAAGAAATTCACCATCTACAGTGAGGAAAATCAAGAAAATTTTCTTAGTTCTGCAGGCAGATGTAAAAGAGGCAGACATATTGCAGGACAGAGAATTTATTCTTTTATTCCCAGATCACCTACTCTGAAAGGCAGCTCCTTTCTGAAATCTTAGTATTTTCCTGCTAGGCGCATGCAGACATACGTTAAACAACTGAGATATGCATGGTTCTCAGTAGTTTAAGTGAGAACAACTGAGATATGGTTCCTTCTTCCCCATAAAAATCAGACAAGATTCCAGTCCTCATGGTTCTAATAAAGCCCAGATTTAAGCACAAACAAGCCTTCCCTAACTTGGGGACTGTGTTGTCTTCCCAAGACTCTGATGACATGATGAATGAGGGAGTCTACTAAAGAACGCTAGGCTGGGACCCCCACCCAAAACCCCCCGAGAGGTTGCTCCCCTCCTGTCAAAGTGCCAGCCCCTGCAGGTGTGTGTGTGTGGGAGGGGAGTTTTCAGTGGCAGCTCCCCAGCAGGGAAATATGCCCCCAAAGAGGATCACCTGGTGCTCAGCTCACCTGTGGTCCCCTCAAAGCATCTTACCTGCACTGTGATCTGTTTAGCACCAGGTGAAGGGCTGGTGATTCCCCAGGAATGTTTTTGTTCCTGGATTCTGCAGCTGCTTTTAATGCCGCTTCGATCAGCCCTGGAATGGACTTTTCCCCTGCTGTGCGCTTCCCCTTGCTTTTAATCTGTACAATTTTCATCTGGATTTAACATTTTCATGGGATGTTTTCAGCCTGTTCACCCTGAATGGTCAGGCAGTTTGAAAATACAGTCAGAAAGTCTGCAAGGGCTTGGCCCACCTGGAGGGCCAAGAGACCCCCTGCAGAGGGGTGGGGGGCAAGAGTGCCTGTTCATCCCCCCCAGTACTTCAGATGGAGAGGGACGGATCCTCACTTCCTGTTGACCCTGCTCTTGTCCCTCCCCAGCCCCGCAAAAGCCCCAGAGAACAATCGTTCTTTCCAAACTGAGAGATCTGTTAGCGTAAGTCGCCAGTCTTTCTGCCAGTACTTCGAGGCACTGTCTGTGGCGCTGGATGGACCATGGCCCATGACCCAGCTCTGTTCAGCACCACCAATCGCTCCAGAAAAAGTGAAATCCAGAACAGATACGAAGCCCTCCTGACTTTGGAGCAAGCCCTGTGGTCCCCACACTGCCTTTTGGGGCCGGGGACTGGGGTGGGCATTACAGGTACTCCCTGTACATTAAATAAAGCAATCCTGCCTTTTGATTCTGCAGGGGTGTGGGAAAAACTCTGCTAGGAAGCCGCTCTTGCGTGGATGCTCGGCAGCGACTCTCTCTGCTTTGTGGGAAATGCCAAACTTGGAAGAGCAGCACAGAGCTGGCCCATGGCCTTCCGAAGCTGGCTGGGCTTTCCTCTCTCTTTTTCACACAGACACATCCTGGCAGCTCTGTCCCAAATTTGTGGCACGGGGAAAGCCAAGCTGGCCTCCGTGGCTTTGTTGGCCTATTTCTCGTCTCCATAGCAACCAGCCCCTTCCCACTGTGCTGGAGACGCACACAAAAGCTCAACTGTTGGGGGTGCGTGAAGAGAGAACACCCTGCTTCTTTCTCACACCCTGCCCTGTCCCTGATTCACCCCATCTTTTGTTCGATTTTTCTTCTTCTCGGTCCATCTTTTAGCGCCATCTTTGCCTCTCTGATCCAGGGGGTGGCATAAAGTCATGAGGACTAGCAACCATGGGCAGCCTTCAGCTCCATGAGTTTCTCCAGGCTCCTTTGGAAGCCATCCAGATTGTTGGGCATTGCTATGGACACCGCGTTGCCAATCAAAGTGGGTCACTCACTCCCATGCTCACTCGACTTGTTAAAACATATGTATATTTAGCTGTTTACATGAACTGTGGGTTTGCTTGTGCTCATCCTTCAGGTTTCTGTTTTTTCTGTGCGATGGATCCTTCTGAAATATATTTTAAACTCTTAATACATCAGAAAGGCTGGGTTTTGTGCATATTTTGTCCTCAGGGGTGTGCTGTCACAAGCACGAATGCTGAGAGAAACATGCAATGCATTTCCCTCACAGCTCAACTGATCTTAACACTGAAGGACACTATTTGCTTGCTTGCCTGCTCACCACCGGCGACCAAAAATTGCTTGCAGGTGAGTACTTGCTGCCTTCTCCACCCCCAGCCCGAAACCCATTCTATCTGCACTGTGCTGACAAGGATCCTCTTGGTTCCAACCGCCACCCCTTGTGGGTGGGGTGGGGTAGCCACTCCAAACTCCAGCCTTGGACAGGGAGGGACATGGGGAAAGGACAGAGCGAGTATAGGACTCAAACCTGCCCTCTGAGTTGCTGGAAGGCCGCCCCCCATATACACACAAACACACACCCTGAAAAAGGGTAGTATTGAATTAGAATTAGCTTCATTAGAATTCAGGATGGCCCACGGGCAGGATCCAGCCTGCCATGCTGATTTATCTGGCCTGTCTCAGAGCTTTTGGACTCTCTCGGAGAATACGATCTCCGAGCGATTCAGAAGCTCTGAGCCGGTGCAGGCGTGCTCAGTGGGGAGATGGCCGCAATTGCCGTCGTGCTTGTGGGGCAGGGAGATGCCCATGATCATGGTTGCCTTTGCTGCATGATTGTGCTGGATGGGGGGTGGGGGGAGATGGCCGTGGTCATGTTTGTGCAGGGAAGACGGTCGCGATCGCAGTCGTGCTCTGGGTGGGGGGAGATGGCCACGACCGCACCCGCCTTCCCTGCACGAGCGTGATCACATCCCACCTTCCCCCCACCCCAAGCCCGATTGTGCGTGCCCCCCCCCCCCCCCCCCCCCCCCCCCCCCCCTTTTGCCCCTCCCCCCCCCCCCCCCCCCAGCACAATCGCGGACACTGTAGCTCTGTCCCTTGAATAGGGACTTGCTCTTCCCCACCTCATCCTGGGCTTCTGCTGCGGCCCAAGCGAGTGGAGCAAACATGCTTTACTTTGTAAATTATTTTTAAATTTTTAATTAATTTAAATTCATTTTTAATGTACAGTGTGCATAGGAATTCATTCATATCTTTTTCAAACTATAGTCTGCCCCCCACAACAGTCTGAGGGACAGAGAACTGGCCCCCTGTTTAAAAAGTTTGAGGACCCCTGATTCAGGATGTCCCTGAAGTAGTCTGAACAAACACAGGTGGACTCTGCTTCTAACCCTCCTCTACCACCCAGCACTGGGCCATCACCTGCGTCTCGGACTGCTGGACCTTGTCCTGGGCTTCCATCAACTCCTTGTCAATCTGCTCCAGCCGAGATGCCCGGATCTGCAAGTGTAAAAAGTCCCAAAAATGTCACGTTAGCAGCTGGACGACTCCTCCCGGGGCATTTTGCCCTCGTCGCAATGCCCAGGAGAGGCTGGGAGCTCCTCTTCCACACAGCTTCTATGCTGAGAGGAGCTTCCATGGTGCTGGACGCCACCTGGCCCAATGCGTTTGCCACCAGGCTGCACCTGCATTCCTGCATGCCTGCGAATAAAAGCTGCAATGTATGCATTGGCTTCTGCTCACGGCTGAGACAACATCTTCCCACGAGCAGAGCGTTCCAGCCAAGACCCACTTGGCCCTCTCGGCCTCCTACTTTCCTCATGCCTTGATCTGCTTTCCTGCCATGATGTTGCTGCCTGCTTCCCTTTCCACCTCAAGGGGCCACGTGGGGTTGTTTGAAGGTGCAGAGAGGGCGGCTTAGTGTGAAAGTGCTACCTGCATGGCCGTCTCCGCAGCCCCGGCCTGGCCCTGCCGTCTCTTTCTTGCTCACCTGTGCTCGCTGCACCATCTCGTCGGTCGTCCCGAAACGCTCCTCCATGAGCGTGCGGATATGCTGGGCTTCGAATTCCAGTTGCTGGCGGATCAGGTCCATTTGCATTGAGAACTGGGGAGAGGCGGAAAAGAGCCAGCGGTGAGAGGAAAGTGCAATCTCCAATCTTGCCCGGCTTCTCCTTCTCGTCCTGCTCTGCTCCTGCTGCAGCTATTCTTAGAGGAGTCAAAGGTGCAAGAGCTCGGAGGGACCTTAGAGGTTATCTAGTCCAACCCCTCTGTAGGGTACAGGCATCTTGCCTCTACCCAGGCCTTGTACTTGAGCTACTGGTTTTATTTATCATTATGTTATCCCATCTTTTTTCCTCTTGTAAGGAAACCAACTTGAACCAAACAAGCTTCCCTCCATTTTATCCTCACAACAACCCTGTGAAGTAGTCCAAGCTAAGAATCTGTGACTGCCCTAAAGTCTCCCAGTGAGCTTCATAGCTGAGTGGGGACTAGAACCTGGATCTCCCAGGTTGCAGTCCAGTGTTCTAACCACTATGCCATATTGTCCACCATAGCTTAAAGAACAGAAGCTTTAGAAAGAACTCAGGGGTGTCTTGTATGGAGTTGCATCTCTGCCCAGGTAAGTCAAGACTCTTCCAGGCAAGGACCGAATTCTATTTCGGAGCACCCCGTGAGGGTCACATGGCAGAGGTAGGTGGGATCAAAGGCCGGGGGGCAGTCCACGAGGGAAGCTGAGAAAACCCCAAAGCCATAAGGGCCATTTTAGCCTATGGCCCTTATGGCTCGCCTCCACGAGGGAAGCTGAGAAAACCCCAAATACTGGGCAGCTGGGGGTGGGGGGCAGGGCATGCCCGGAGAATGGGGGTATGGCCACCCTTCAGCCTAGCCTGCTAAGCACATTATGGGTGTCTCACCGTCTCCACGTGAGGAAGTTCGTCCAGCCGCTTGGAGAGGTTTTGTAGTTGAGTATAATACCAAAGTTTCTCTTTTTCCTCCTTTTCAATCTCCGTGAGCAAGAAACACCTGCAGGGAAGGTGTGAGAACAAGATCACAGCAGCTCCAGAGACTCCCACCCTTCCGTCTCAGGGGACGACCGCTCTGGCGCTCTAGCATTATGGGATGCATGCGGAGAGAGAACTCTCTCCTGCTGCATTTTCCTCAGACTAGAAATAATTCTACAGCTCTCCTGTCTACCTTCCTTTGCCCACTTTCTGACCGAACCAGGCCCGGATGTGATGCATAGAAATGTTTTAATTAATAAATAATAAATAATAAATGTGGCCGCTTCTCCCCATAGGGAGCAGCTGCTTCCCCCCCACCCCCCGGTCATCTAAACTGCCCCTTTCTGTACTTTCCCCAATGCTGCAAAATCCTGTTGCAGCCAGAATAAAGATTTGTCTAAGAAGAGCGCAACTCGGCAGCTTTATTGTCAGCACTGTTCCTAATCTTGCTTGACATGAAATTTGTTTTTCTCACAACGGCCACGCGCTGAGTTGACATTTTTTGTGAGACACAGCTCATGAATTCTTACAAGGATTTCATTTATTTAAGCGATTCTTGTAAGCGCTTTCGATCAGCAGCTACCAGCTCGGAGCCCATCCCAGTAATACGGTGAAGTGAGGTTTTTGCTTTGCTTTGCTTTGCTTTATGTTGAATTTTGATGCATATTCTCCAGTTTGGAGAGATTTGGATCCCTTGTTTTTTTAATAAGCCTCAATAATTTGGTGGTATCTACAAACTGAGCCACTCCTAAATCCATCAACAATCCCTGGGATTTTCCAGGGGTTGTTCATGGTTGACCATGGTTCATTCTTTCGGCTTGGTTCAGACAACATACAACCTGGCCATTATTCTCACATAACGCTAGTCCTCTATCAGCTCCACTGGCTACCAGTTTAAGTCTGGGTCCAATTCAAGGTGCTGGTTTTGACCGATAAAGCCCTGAACGGCTTGGGACCAGGATAGCTGCCTCCTCCTTCATATGCCCTCATGCCCCCTAAGATATGCAGGAGAAGCCCTGCTCCGGGGACCCTCCCCAAAGGAGGTAAAAAGGCCATCAACTCGGAGCAGGGCCTTCTCTGCGGTGGCGCCCAGACTCTGGAATGTGCTCCCCAGAGAGGTGCGCCTGGCACTGAGCTTATACTCTTTCGGTGCCAGGTCAAAACCTTTTTATTTAAACAGTATTTTAAAAGATAGTTTTAATGATTTTTCCAGTTGCTTTTGCTTTGTTCTATTTTGATTTAATTTGATTTATCTGATGTTTGTTTATTGTTTTACATGGTATCACTTTTTAAATTTGTGGATGATGTTATCAGATGTTTTAAATTGCTGTAAGCCATTCTGAGATATTTATATAAAGGATGCCATACAAAAGCTTTTAATAAATAAATAACAAATAAATAAACCCACCATTTGATGGCAGCGCACACTCCCTCTGAACTCTACCAGGGTTCAACCACAAACAGTCCATGAAGTGATCCCTGGTGGGTTGTGAACTGTGGGCTGTTCACCACGGTTTGTTATTGTTCAATCAATGCAACAACCCGCATTTCATGGAACGGCTGTAGTTGAAGGACAGCCTGCAATTAACCGGTAGTCAGTACTGGCTTTATGCTGTTCGAATGCCTCTTGAGAGCCCTTACCTTTCCCTGCCAAGCTCCTCCAGGAGCCGGATCGTGGCCTGGCTCAGATCTCCCATGCTGTCCTTTCTCTGGAGCACGGAGGGGTGGGCCGGGGTCTCCTCGGGGCTGCGGCCCTGGCAGATGGGCTCCGAGACCTGGGCAGGAGGGCGGAACTTCAGGCTGTACAAGCTGCTGATGTCCATCTGAAGAGCTGGAAATCCAAGAGGCAGGAAGGGAAATCCCAGGTCAAGGTTTCTCAGGTGACTTTGGAGCAGGCATGAGGACTGAATCTGGACTACCTGGGATTCCCCACAAAGGGACACCCCTTCTCCGGGCCCTGCCTCCTTTCCTAGTCCTCCGGTGTTCCCCGCAGCCTCCCCACTCTTCTTCTAAAATGTTGACATGCTTCCTCAAGTCCCAGAAAGAGCTTCTGGCAAATAGAAGGGGATCTTTTTTCTAGTACCCCACCCCTTTTTCCTTTTGCTCCACCCACTTTTAGAATGACCCCCTTCCCTCCCCCCAGCTTCTCCAAGATGCAATTTGGCCCTCAGAGCAAAAGAAGTTCAGCGATCCCAACCTTGACCCATTCTCTTTGGCTTCTAATGTTTCACCAACCCCATGTCCCACCCTTCCAGGACTACCTTCACAACCGTGAGGACTAGAAACTTGCTTTTAAAAGACTACCTCAAGTATTTTAAGTATCAAAGACTGGGAGTGGGAGGAGATGCAGTTTGAGGGTCCAGGCTGGAGAAGTCCTGTCTGGGCACACTCATGAATATCCCATTCTCCAAGCAACCTGTCCACCTGAGCAGACCTCGGCACACCTTTTAGCTGGTCCAAAAACTCCATCTGCCCTGACGACACCATCACCTTGGCCTCCTGTTCCAACTTGCCTTGCAGGTGCTTCAGAACTTCCTGAGGCAAAGAAGATCGAAATGCAACAAGGGACTAAGAATGCAGAAAGTGGATCAAACGAGGCATAAAGTACCTTCACTAGCGACATTTCTAGCTGAAGCTCTCTGGATTGTTTGCAGCGATTCAAAACAAAATAGAACACGCACTACAAAGGCTGGAAATGACAGTATATGATAGAAGCAAAATGCTGAAGTAAAACAGAGCATGGCTCAACAGTTGAAATACAGTAATAGATTTAAAGAGGAAACTGAATGGAGAAGAATGCATTGGAAAACAAGGTCTTCACACGGTGCTGGAAAAAGCACAAGTTGAGCACTGGGGAAGCCTCTCTGGGAAGCTTGTTCCTCAGCTGTGGGGCCACAACAGAAAAGTCCCCGCTCGCGGTACCACCCTCCTCACTTCTTTTGGCAGGGGCTCCAAAGAAGGACCACTGTGGGGTCTGGGCATGTGCCCCATGACCTGTTTACTTGACCCTTGCCAGTTACAGGATTGGTCCCTGGGTCCAGGAGGTAATCAATGCCTCACTGAGGGAGGGTCAGATCCATGCCCCCTTAAAGGAGGCAGTGGTCAGGCCGGTCCTAAGAAGGCGTCCCTGGACCCAGAGGTGGCTGCCAATTACAGACCAGTGGCCAACATCCCGTTCCTGGGCAAGGTGCTGGAGCAGGTGGTGGCGGGAGAACTCCAAGCTCTCTTAGATGAGACTGATTATCTGGACCCATTTCAGTCCGGCTTCAGACCCGGGTACGGTACTGAATCTGCCTTGGCCGCCCTGTACGATGACCTGTGCAGGGAGAGAGACAGGGGGAGTGCGTCCCTGTTGGTTCTCCTGGACCTCTCAGCGGCTTTCGCTACCATCGACCATGGTATCCTTCTGGATAGGCTAGCGGGACTGGGGGTCGGACTGCTTTGCAGTGGTTCCGCTCCTATCTCAACGGCCGGTTCCAGAAGGTGGTGCTGGGGGAGTATGGCTCTGCGCCATGGCAGCTATGCCATGGAGTACCGCAGGGGTCCATTTTGTCCCCTTTGCTGTTCAACATCTACATGAAACCACTGGGGGAGGTCATCAGGAGGTGTGGGCTGCGGAATCATCAGTACGCTGATGATACCCAGCTCTACCTCTCGTTCTCCACCAATCCAGGTGAGGCGGTGGCTGTTCTGAACCGGTGCCTGGCCGAAGTAATGGGCTGGATGAGGGCCAATAAACTGAAGCTCAATCCAGACAAGACGGGGGTCCTGTTGGTGGGCGGATCGAAGTTTCAGGTAAGTGATTTTGGCCCTGTCCTGGATGGGGTAGCGCTCCCTCTAAAGGACAGGGGCCATGGCTTGGGGGTGCTCCTTGACCCACAGGTATCCCTGGAGACCCAGGTGACAGTGGTGATGAGGAGAGCTTTCCTCCAGCTTTGGGTGGTCCACCAGCTGCTTCCTTACCTGGATGAGCACTGCCTAGCAACAGTGACACACGCTCTGGTAACCTCCCGGTTGGATTACTGTAACGCGCTCTCCGTGGGGCTGCCCTTGAATACGGTCCGGATACTTCACTTTGTACCAAACAGAGCTGCCAGGCTGCTGACGGGAACTGGGCATTGTTCTCATATAACCCCAGTTCTCCATCAGCTCCACTGGCTCCCGATTGAAGTCCGGGCCCAATTCAAGGTGCTGCTATTAACCTATAAAGCCCTGAACAGCTTATATCCAGAATACCCGAAGGATCGCCTCCTTCCCTATATGCCCTCATGCCCCTTAAGTTCTGCAGGAGAGGCCCTGCTCCGGGAACCTCCCTGAAGGAGGTAAAGAGGGTGTCTACCCGGAGGGGGGCCTTCTCTCTGGTGGCCCCCAGACGCTGGAATGCGCTTCCCAGAGAGGGTTGCCTGGTGCTGAGTTTATATTCCTCTTGGCACCAGGTGAAAATCTTTTTATTTGCCCATCATTTTAATTGTTAGGAATTTTAATCTGATTTTAACTTCATAATAGCTTTTTGGTTTTGATTTTGGTTTTACTTTTGATTTTCTTTCATTTGTGAATTGTTATTGGTTTTATGTGTATATTTAATTATTGTTAACTTGATGATTTTTGTAAGTTGTCCTGAGACATTTTTGCATATAGGGTGGGATATATATTTTAAATAAAATAAATATTTATTATTTATTAAAATAAATAAGATCTTAAGATCTGCGGGAGAAGCCCTGCTCCGGGAACCCTTTCTAAAAGAGGTAAAAAGCTCATCAACTCGGAGTAGGGCCTTCTCTGCGGTGGCGCCCAGACTCTGGAATGCGCTCCCCAGAGAGGTCCTCCTGGCACTGAGTTTATACTTTTTTCAGCACCAAGTCAAAACCTTTTTATTTTAAAAGTTTTAAAATATTTTAAAAGTTAATAGTTTTAATGATTCTTCCAGTTGCTTTTACTTTGTTCTATTTCGATTTAATCTGCTTTATTTGATGTTTATTAATTGTTTCCCACAGTATTACTGTTTCAATCTGTGGATGGATGTTATTAGATGTTTTAAATTGTTTTTAAGTTGCTGTAAGCTGTCCTGAGATATTTATATAAAGGACGGCATACAAAAGCTTTTAATAAATAATAATAATAAATAAATAAATATGGGAGGAGAGGATTCTTCAGGTGAGAGATATCCTACCTCCATGCGCTCAGCATCGTCAGCACCTTGGTCTAACGGCATCTTGATGGTCAGAAAACTGGGAGCGCTGCTAGATCACAAGAGAAAGCAACCCACCTTCATGTCGGAGGTCTCATTTTCAAGCTTGGAGAGATGGTTTGAGTTGTCCTCCAGTTCACGCCGGAGGTGCGTGTTTTCTTTCTTCAGTGCCTCCACCTGCCTCACCAATTGGTCGTAGGATGCGATGGATCCAGACATCTTCAGCTCCTCCATGGACTGGACAGAGGCAGAAAGAGGGCAAAGCATCTAGTTCAGGGCAACATTTGGACACCCGCTTCCTCTGTCCAGCTACTGAAATAGCCACTGTAGCTGCTGATTGAGTCGGCAGGAGGAAATGAGCCTGCATCAATCTACTGAGGACTAGCAACTTATATTTTCAATAGGCTGATCCCTCCAAATATATTTCTTGAGTGTGTGTGTGCATTTATCAGATAATTTTAAAAGGATGCCAACACTCATAGAACTTGCTTTGCAGAGGGAAAGCTGATAACTCAACACGACACTTTATGCCTGAAGTACATGAGGTAAGGATAGAGAGCAGTCACTCCGCAGCGGAGAGAATGAATTCTCCACATGCTCAGAGGCACACTGATTTTCATTATATTTGGCTCCTGCTTTTCCTCCTCAAAGTCACCCTTCACAACTGTCCTGCAAGGTAGCCTGGTTTGACAGCAAAAGCAAGCAAGAGAGCGTGACTGGGCCAAGGTCACATGGGATTGGAACCTGGGCAAGGATGGGAACCTGTGGGCCAAATCTGGAATGGCTTCACCCCCTTTGCGGCCACAGGAGCAGCTCCAGCCTAAAACGGGGCAGGTATCTGCTCTCCTGACCCCGCCCCTTTGCCCCTGGCCGTGCCCACTTCTCAAATGGGCCCCGAAAGTATCTGCAGATTGGAACTTGGCCCTTGGACTGGGCGGGGGGGCAACAGCCTTCCCTACAGGAGCCCCATGTGGGGCAGGGCAAGGCAGGGGGTGCTTATCTGGTGTGGCCCAGGGTGGATTGGGACCAACTGCGCCCCCACCTGACCCCACAGTTGGGCCTGCCATGCTCTGAGCATGCGCTCTCATTTTTCCTGAGGGGCAACCAAAGACCCGCCAGGAGCCTGCCTGGAGCGAAATCCAGACCTCGGCACACTCTTAAAACACCTTTCTCATCTGGGGCCGGTCTCCTAAAAGGACGCCACTCGGAGTGCTTTCTCCAGGATCTCTCAGCAGTCAGAAACAAACCCCACAGCATTAGGGTCGCTGGGAAGGGCTTTTCGACAGCTCAGTCCCTCCCGACCTTCCCCTGCATCCCCAAAAATGCGGCCAGTTTGCCACCTTTCCCCCCCCGAGGGCCAACTTTTCAGCCTCGGGCCAAGGAAATCACCTCAAGAGCACCCTTGAACGGACAACCTCCAAACCCCTCCGTTGGGACTCGCGCACCCCGCCACCCGCTCACATCGAGCGCTCAGACCCAGGACCTGCTTGCCAGAAATTCTGCGACCCCCCTGGCTCCCCCACCCCTCATTCCAGTCTGGTCACAAAGACCGGAAACCTCACGCACTGTGCAAATATGGGGATATTTTGGAAATAGTTCTGCTGTGGCACCGATGGGTGAGAATAAAAAACAACACTAAGACGGGCATCTTCCCTTGAAATTCACACGAGAGCTTGTAGTTAGAAGGGCCAGTGCTTAGCGCCACACACACACACACACACACACCCCACTGCGCCCCTTCAAACATCGCCACCTCCCATTGCGCCCCTTCAAACATTGCCTCCTCTTTGCACAGTCTTTGTTTCACGCTTCCCTTTGTCTCTCCCCACCCCCATTTCTCCCCTCCCTCTCGCTCCGGGATGCACCCACAGCCAGAGAGCCCGCGATGGGGAGCGCCGAGGTGGGGCAGCGGCCCCAGGGCGAAGACACACGCCCCGAAAAGCCGCTCAGATGTGGAACGCGACCGCCGGTGCATGGAAGAGCCGGGAGCACGCCGCGCCAGCTATCATCTTTGGGGTCCGCCTCACCTCAGTTTCCTTACTCCTCATCCCACCAACTCCTCAGGTTTGTGGCTCAGGCATTTTCCTCGACCTGGGTCCATTCTCCTGAATGTCTGAACGCGCGTATGGCGCGTGGACGGGCGGGCGCCCTTTGGGGGAAACGCCACATTCCGATGCAAGCCAGTTGCTCGTTCCCTGGTTGGGGGGCGGGGGGGGGGGGGCGCTCCTGGCGAGGGGGGGGCCTGGGGACCAGGAACCGAAGCCCGGCCCCGGCTAAACCCCCCCCCCCCCCCCCGGCCGACCCCCGAAGACAGTTTCTTTGGCGACCTGTGATCCAGCGCCAGTGATGAGGGGTGCTTTGTTTATCTGGCATTCCGTCAGAGCTCGCTCACTGTACGTTGCATGGCTGGACTGGTGCGTGGGGGGGGGAATTGGGGGGGGGGATGGGGGGGGGGGGGGGGGGAGGGAGGGTCAAGGGCTGCCACTCGATTGCTGCAGCCTCAGTGAATGGACAGAACATCCACGCTGTGGAATTGCACCACTGGTCTTCTCTGTACGGACAGGCGGTGCCTTTCTGGAAAAGCGTCCTTTCTGCATTAAATCTGGGACCTCCTGTATGCAGAGGAGGAACTCTGCCTCTGAACTGCGACCTATTCCATTAAAAGAAAGCACGATTCTAGTCCTTATGGCTCCAAGCAAAAGGATGCTTCCAATTGTTGTTCAGTCACAAAGTCGTGCCTGACTCTCTGCGACCCCATGGACAACACTCTCCAGGCTCTCCTGTCCCCCACCATCCTCCGGAGTCTACCTGAGCCCCAGTGACCCCATCCAGCCGCCTCATCCTCTGCCATCCCCTCCTTCTTTTGCCATCTATTGTTCCCAGCATAAGGCTCTTCTCCAGGGAGTCCTTCCTTCTCATTAGGTGGCCAAAGTATTTGGGCTTCATCTTCAGGATCTGGCCTTCTAAAGAGCAATCAGGGTTGACCTTCTCTAGGACTGACCGGTTTGATCGCCTTGTGGTCCAAGGGAGTCGCAGGCATCTCCGCCAGCACCACAATTCAAAAGCACTTGTTTTCAATAGGAACAAGACAAGTTGCTGAATATTGGCTTAGGGCTTCACCTATTGGGTGAACAATTGCACAGCTCCTGGTTAGCATGCAGGGAACCACAAGACGTTCAGATGGTCAGACTCCTGGTCAGAAAATTTCTGAGGATCCAAGGAGCCACCCCTCAGGGGTCACAGGAATCTGCTTAGAGAGGTCAGGGACTGGGACCCACCCAAAACACAATTCCTTGCCCCCTCCCTCCTTCACAACAGCCATTGATCTGAGGTACATAACGGGCTAGTCCAGGTTCCTGCAATTGCTTTTGCTTCCGCCACAGTCCTGCCTGTTTGCACTTCAACGGCAGGGCTGGAAGAGGTCTGAGAGATCACCCAGAGCAGGTCCAGCAAGTCCAGCAATCTGGCAGCTCCACCCTTTGTGGCACAAGGACCACTTCCACAGCTTCAGCAGCAGCTCAGCAATTGCTTGATGGCTCTCAGTTCCACACAACCCAGTACCTGAAACTGCAGAGCCGTTCACGACCAACAGAACCATAAAATACAATGCAATCAAACGCAACATCCAAAGCGCATAGTTGCTGTGGAAACTAAAAAATAATGGCCAAAACAAAGCAGTGCAAACATTTTAAAAGCCTCACTTACTTCACTGCCATGAAGAACGGAAATTCTTTGCCATAAAGAGGTAGGAAGACAATAAAACTGCAAAATCGTCCACTTTTGCTCTTCACGGGAGGTTCTATTTGAAGAGTGGCCGTTGGTAAGATCCGTGGTTCAGGGGGGCCATGCTTTGTCACCCGGATGCTCTTTCCTCATCCTTTCAAGGCGCAATCTAACCTGCAAGCCTTCAGAGCGGCGTACACGGGGCAGGAGAAACACGGAATCAAAGATCACGCCCGCATTTCACACCCGCGACTGACTGGCCACAGCGGAATGGAGCATTCCAGGCGGAGCACGGCTGACAGGCACCGAGGGAAGCAAGATTCCTTGCCTCAGGATGTCCTGGCAAGGGCTGGCTCGGTTGTGCGTCTTCTTTCCCGGCTGATGCAGCCACTGGGTTGGGATTGGGACTGGGCAGACATGGCACCGTTCTGCTCCCTTCGCATGCACCCAGCCAGCGAACGTGCTGGAGAACGGCAAGGCTGCCAGAGCGCCAGTGCCCCAGAGCCGACACGGAAAGGCCAGCTGCGCCCCCAGCCAAGCCCGGCCCAAGCAGCCGGGCGTGCATCTGTGTCCACCTCGTGTTTTTGGACCTGCAAATTAGTGCACAATTACCAAGCGTCAGCTGGCACATGGGGGGAGTGCGGCACGCATGTGCTAGCAGCAGATGCTGATCAGCACAGGCGTGCCAAAAGCCGAGCGTGTGTTTCAGGGAGTGTTCCTATCGGGAGTGCCACAATGCATGGAAAGGGGGGACTGGGGACCCCCGTAGTGCAATGCAAGGGGGGGGGGTTAAGCCCTCGAGTAGTGTCCTAAAGGGAATTCAAGGCAGGAGTGGCCAGATAAGCGAATGGCAAGCTGGCCCTGGCTTTACATAACTGATTCCTCCAGGGTGTGTGTGTGTGTGTGTGTGTGTGTGTGTGTGTGTGTGTGTGTGTGAGAGAGAGAGAGAGAGAGAGAGAGAGAGAGAGAGAGAGAGAGGGCACACACAACCGCCTGCAGAAAAGGCAGGGAGCCAGAAACTTGGCTTTACAAAGAGAAGGGGAGAAAAACAAAGCTGCTTAGAATCCCAAAAAGCAAAGAAAGGAAGAAAAAGCACTAACATATTGCAGAAAAACGGGCTCAGGCGCCTGAAGACAAAATGATTATTCTGCTCCCAAAAGCAGCCATTTTTCCTTCCAGGTTTTTCTTCCCTCTTTCTTGCGCTGATGTGTAAAAGCCAACATTGTGCTCCTAAGCCACTTTTGGGGTCTCTGCAAGAGATGCCAACGATGCGGGGAAAACAAGGTGCTTGATGCTCAGAGGGGTTCCTGCCCCTTCCAATTCCATGATGAGCATCAGGCCAGGTCTGTATGGCCAGGGTTTCTGCAAGCCCCTACCCCTGAGCAAACCATGGTTTAAAAACATGCTAATGAAATTTGCAAAAATCAAATTAGAACCCCATCCCTTTCAGCTTGTTATTTGGGCAAATGGTTCGATTTGCACACAATTCTTTCAGGATTTCTTAAAATATT